GCCCAGACGACTGCAACGATCAGGGTCGCTGTGTCCGCGGGCGCTGCGTGTGCTTCCCTGGTTACAGCGGCCCCAGCTGTGGCTGGCCCTCCTGCCCCGGGGACTGCAACGGCCGTGGGCGCTGCGCGAAAGGCGTATGCGTGTGCCGCGCGGGCTTCTCCGGGGACGACTGCAGCCAGCGCTCCTGCCCCCGGGGCTGCAGCCAGAGGGGGCGCTGCGAGGACGGGCGCTGCGTGTGCGACCCCGGCTACACTGGCGAAGACTGTGGGAAGAGGAGCTGCCCCCGGGGCTGCAGCCAGAGGGGGCGCTGCGAGAACGGACGCTGCGTGTGCGACCCCGGCTACACTGGCGACGACTGCGGGGTGAGGAGCTGCCCACGGGGCTGCAGTCAGAGGGGGCGCTGCGAGGACGGGCGCTGTGTGTGCGACCCCGGCTACACCGGCGACGACTGCGGCTCGCGGAGCTGCCCGTGGGACTGTGGCGAGGGCGGACGCTGCGTGGACGGCCGCTGCGTGTGCTGGCCCGGGTACGCGGGCGAGGACTGCAGCACCCGGACGTGCCCGCGGGACTGCCGGGGCCGCGGGCGCTGCGAGGACGGCGAGTGCATCTGCGACTCAGGGTACAGCGGGGACGACTGTGGAGTGCGCAGCTGCCCAGGCGACTGCAGCCAAAGGGGCCGCTGCGAGGACGGCCGCTGCGTGTGCTGGCCAGGGTACACGGGGCCCGACTGCGGCTCGCGCGCCTGCCCCCGCGACTGTCGGGGCCGAGGGCGCTGCGAGAACGGCGTCTGCGTGTGCAACGCGGGCTATAGCGGTGAGGACTGCGGCGTGCGCAGCTGTCCCGGGGACTGTCGCGGCCGGGGCCGTTGCGAGAGTGGCCGCTGCGTGTGTTGGCCCGGGTACACAGGTCGGGACTGCGGCACGCGCGCCTGCCCTGGAGACTGTCGTGGTCGCGGGCGCTGCGTGGACGGCCGCTGCGTGTGCAACCCCGGCTTCGCGGGCGAGGACTGCGGGAGCCGTCGGTGCCCTGGGGACTGCCGCGGGCGGGGCCGCTGCGAGGATGGCGTGTGCGTGTGCAACGCGGGCTACGAGGGAGAGGACTGTGGTGTGCGCAGCTGCCCAGGAGGTTGCCACGGCCGCGGCCAGTGCCACGACGGGCGCTGCTTGTGTGACGATGACTACTCGGGGGAGGACTGCAGCATAAGGCGGTGCCCCCGCGACTGCAGTCAGCATGGCGTGTGCCAGGACGGCGTGTGCACCTGCTGGGAGGGCTACGCCGGCGAGGACTGTGGCCTCCGTACCTGCCCCTCCAACTGCCACCAGCGCGGCCGCTGCGAGGATGGGCGCTGCATGTGCAACTCAGGCTACACCGGCCCCTCTTGCGCTACCCGCACCTGCCCAGCGGATTGCCGGGGCCGGGGGCGCTGTGTGCAGGGAGTGTGTGTGTGCCACGTGGGCTATAGCGGCGAGGACTGTGGGCAGGAAGAGCCTCCCGCCAGCGCCTGCCCTGGGGGCTGTGGGCCCCGGGAACTGTGCCGCGCTGGCCAGTGTGTATGCGTGGAGGGCTTTCGAGGACCTGACTGCGCCATTCAGACGTGCCCCGGGGACTGCCGTGGCAGGGGAGAGTGCCGTGAGGGCAGCTGTGTCTGTCAAGATGGTTATGCAGGGGAGGACTGTGGGGAAGGTGAGCAAGCAGCCTTCCCCAATACCCTGGGTCAGGGCCTGGGAACCAGAGCCAGTGGGAAGGCCTGAGCCTGAGGCCTAGGAGCCCAGGCACCCTGAGAAAGAGGGAAGGAGGTGAATTATTGAGCAGTGGGGGGAGGGGGAGGGATGTTTGTGTGGAGGGGGGCAGTCCAAGGAGCCAGAGAGCCGGTGTCCACTAGGGGCCGCAGAACCCCGGGGGCATGCCAGCAGGCAGGCCCTGCTTTCAGATCTCTGATGAGCAGCTTGGGGGCTCCTTTAGTTGCTTTTCCGAAGATTCTGTGTTTCTGGAGATGGCGGTTGAGGGGGGGAGGTGAAGGAGACCCCAGGGCCTGTTCAGGCCTCTGCCAGTTTTGCATCACCTCCAGAGAGGAGCAGGAACTGGGATCAATCTTGCGGTATGGTCTGAGTACTGGGGCCTCCGATGGTAGGGGTGGGGGATGAGGGCTGCCTTGGACTAACCACATCTCCGTATCTCATTCTCCTGGACAGAGGTTCCAGCCATTGAGGGCATGAGGATGCATCTCCTAGAGGAGACAACGGTTCGGACAGAGTGGACCAGGGCTCCTGGCACTGTGGATGCCTACGAAATTCAGTTCATTCCCACGGTGAGAGCTAAGCTGCAGGAGGTTGGGTGGGCTGGACTCAGAGGGGAGAGAGTGCTCACCTCAAGCCTCAAGTCAGTGGCCAAGTCCAGACTGGCTAGACTCCTGAAGCTGCTGTGAAGGCCTCCTCATCCCACCCCACACTGGGTCCAGAAGGCCTGTACAGCATCAGTTCACGGCTGCTGGAATGACCTCTGGTGACCGTGAGCTCTGCCCTTCCTGAGGCTGTCCAGTCTGTTCCTGGTCATCACTGGTAGTTCTTTCTACCATCTAGAGCTGCCCCATTCTACATCTGTCCATTGGCCCTAGGTGGGCCCCCACCAGCGTCAGAATGTCGCCTTTGCTTTCCCCCACAGCTTCCGCCACAGGCTTTCAGGTATTTGGAGACATCAGCCATCACCACACTCTTCGTTCTCTCCAGACCAACTCCCCTGCTCTCTTCACCCCTTTTCCCTAAGGCTTTGTTCTCTGAATTCTTCACTTCCTGGGTTCCCTCCTCTAGTGCCTCATGCTTTTTCCATTTGCCTCCAAAATGTGAGGGCAGACAGGAGTCCAGTAGTTCTCCTGGCTAACTCAGGAGAGCCTGGCAGTTTTCTCAGAGTTGATGTGTATTAACTTGTGGTCACAAAAACTGTGAGCTATTTTGATCATATTTATTTTTTTAAGTGACTTTTATTATAAAAGTTATATAGGCTTTGTATAGACACTTTAGAAAATATAAATGAGGAAAAGAGAAAGAAAAAAAAGAAAGAAAAAAGATGACATTGAACTGTACACTTTTTTAGCCTAAATATAGGCCTTTGCATGTGGCTCTGTTCAGTGTTATCTCTTTTGGTTTAGGCCAAGCTGTCTAGGCTGTTGCAATAATTTAAGTCTATGAACTGGTTCTCCTGCCTCTATGTCATCAGTGCACTGCAAAGCATTCTCTGTGTCTCCTTCCAAATCGCTTTTAAAATATTTGGGAGCACCCGAAGGACAAAGCCTTGTGGCCTCTCACTAGAGGCCCCCTTTTATGCAGATTGGACTTTTATGATATGTTTGGCCTCCCAGTTCCCAATCATATGACATTTCTACTGTCTAACTCATGTTTTCTTGAATCTTCACACAAACATCACGGCTGATCTCCAAAACTCTGGAAGAATGAATAACTCCCAGGGCCTAAACCCTAGGAGGGCTCTAGGACAGAAAGAACAGCTCAGAGGTGCTGGCTGCCATCCCCACGCTAACTGGCCTGGTCATGCCAAGTCTTCTTATTATAGCCCCAAGACCAGACCCCTACTAGGCTCTGTCTCTCCTCACTGGCTGGGAGAAGCAGAGGCAGAAGTCCCTACTTTGCAGCACAACCAATAGAGCTTGGGTTTTTTCCTTCTGTTAAAAAAAGTTGTTTTTTGTTATAAAAATAATTTAATCACAAGACAAGAATTTGGCAACTAGAGAAAAAAAAACAAATAATTCTTGGCTGCTTCACACTAAAACAAGCACTGTTAACATTTTTAAGTGTTTCTCCCACTCTCTTCTTCTGTGTGTATATTATTGACATAGTTCTGATCTTGAGAGGTTGGGACTTTTAAAAGGAACTTTCCTAAGAAACTTCAGGGAAAAAAGAATTAAAATAAACACTTGGGAGAGAAAGAGCATGCAAGGCAGCATTGTCCTCTGCTCTTAGTAGATAGGAACCCAACCTTGGGTGTTTTCAAGCAATGGGTCTTCCCAGCCGAAGCCCTAGGCTTCCTCTCTCTCCAGGTGCCAAGTGTGGGTCTAGTTGGCTCGTGTCCAGCTCAGCTTATCTCTGTCACATTCTGGGTTCTCTTTGAACCCGAATGTGGAAAACACCCCTGTAAGATAGGACCCCAGACAGCCCTCTTGCACTGCACCTTAGCCTGTGCTACTGGCCCTCCGACAGCTTTCTAAGCTTTCTGTGGCTGGCCCCTGGGATCGTGCCTCCTGTCCTGGCCAGCGCGCTCTGTCCATTTCTGCTGGCACAGAGTGTATCGGTAGCTGGCTGTCCTCTGGCACTGCCATCTTCTCAGAAGCCTATCTCCACCTAACCATTTCCCTTTTCCAGAAGGATTTCTGTCTCAAAGCCCAGCCCTTTGCTGTTCCTGGCAAAGGGACACACCTAGTCACTGGAATGCTCTTCAGAACACGGAAGAGGAACATTCCTTCTTCTCCCTGCATACGTGGCATGGCTACTGTGACTCAGTGGTTCTCAAAACGTATTCCCTGCACCTGCAGCATGAGATTCACCTGGAACCTTGTTACACATGCAGACCTCAGGACTCCAGCCCGAGCTACTGAATTAGGAGCTCTGTGGCTGGAGCCCAGTAACCTGAACTGTAACAAGTCCTCCAGGGGATTCTGCTACACCAGAAGCCTGAAGGCCACTCAGTCAAGGAATGTTGCTATTTTGCAAAAAGTCTGGTTCTTCTCTGAATGTGAGAGAAAGCAAAAGGTAACTGAAGGTCAGTTGAAGAGGAGGATCAGGCACTCTGCAGCCTAGAACCTGGGCTGTGCCACGCTTTCACTGGGACACAAGACCTCGTAGCCCCAGAAAAGTTTGTGTTTGGGGTCTGGTCTGAAAGGGGGAGGAGGGTGTGGTAAGCTCCAGAGCCCAACCAAGATGGTGCCCCCACCTGGAACCATGACACTGGTATGGAGAACGGGGTTAGAAACTTACCAAGGATAATCGGTGAAGTGGCCGGGCTGTCAGCAAGGGGAGCTAGCATCTGCCTAGAGAGACTGTCTCAGACCAGACAGATGACAAATGTGGGACTTTGAGGGATTTGTTCCCAAATGGATCTTAGGAGGGAATAAGAGGTGTCTAAAAGGCTCACGTACGTGGTCTGAGGGAGAAGGAGAACTCAAGATGGGCTTGTCTCCCTGGAAGGACCAGACATCATCAGGGACCACCCAAGGGATGTGTATGTGGCGGGGGGGGGGGTAATTGTGTGTGTCAGGTTGGGTTGGGGGCATAGGGGAGAGAGAACGAAAGAGAACGTTCTGGCAAGGATGAGGACTTCACAGGCCTTCAGTTGAGACTCCTAGGCTGGACTATCCTAGGGCAGGGTGAGTAGGAGAGGAAGAGGGGGCCTGTGTGCCCAGGAAAACTTTTCAGCCAACAGAACTCTGACAAAGCTTTATTTCATCCTCAAGTCTACGTGGCCTCTCATCTGGTTTTATACTTTGGTATTTACTGTGTTGATTTCCCCACAATATTCTTGGTTTAGGAGAGTACCTTTTGAAATTTCCAATCCTACTTGGCTGAATGGAGGTGTCCCCATCACGGCCAACATAGCTAAGCAGAACAGAGCGTCCTTATTAACTGTCCTAGCTAGACAGCCCAGTGAAATTCAGGGCAATTAGACTGCTCGCAGATGTCCATTCCTCCTATTTCCCAGTGGCTGGCCCTCCAAGAAGACCCTGCCTGGAGCAGAGGCTGGCATATTCTTGGTGGGGTCACCATGGATAAATCATAATACCTTCGATGTGCCCTTGGAGGGTAGTCATTTTCTCACAGGCGTGTACGGCTCAGAGATTTGGGGAGGGATCCGAGCACCTTAAGATGTGGCCATACATTTAGCTACTAGAACATGAGCTGAGGCAGGATACTTCTTTCATCATGCCTAGCATGATGCCAGGTACAAAACTGGGAAACATATTTGTGAGGCTTAGAGCAGATAGGCTTTGTTTTTGAGGGGCCTGCAGCCCTGCTCAGGAGACAAGAGAAGTGCCTAAAGGGAAATGTCATGAACAGGGGTCACACCCACGTTACCAGCCAGGGGCAGGGTCTGTGGGGGAGGAAGTGAGACTGGGAAGGTGCGTCCCTCAGTGACATCATCTCTTGTGACAGGAGTGGCCTTGGGAGGCAAGGTGGGCAGGGTTGCGTGGGGAAAGCCCAGGGGAGGATCCTGGCGTGTGATGGGCAGATTCGGACAAACAGCTGATGAACCAGCTTAAAAGGTAGCTCCTGTGAGAGGGGGCTGTGAGGTCATACTGCCTGGGGGGTCGAATCCCTGCCACGTTCTTGGTGGTGGGGACCTTGGGCAAGTTACTTAATCCTTTTGTACCTCAGTTTCTTCATCTGTCCAATGGGAATAGCATGACCTCCTTCATAAGGTTATTTTGAGGATTAAGTGAGTTCATATGTGTAAGTTGCCTAGTCCAGCATGTGGTAGATACTGAACGTTTTAGACGTTTTTGCTGCTACTGTCCATGCTCTCCAGCTGTATAGGAACCAGCTCCGCACAGCTCCATGTGGACAGCACCTGGAACTGGAGAGAGAAGACACAAGGGAGACTGGGTAGTGGGGGTGAGATAACGAGCCCTGATCCACTTGGTGCTCCTTTCTTGCAGACGGAGGGGGTGAGCCCCCCATTCACAGCACGGGTACCCAGCTCTGCCTCAGCCTATGACCAGAGAGGACTGGCGCCCGGTCAGGAGTACCAGGTCACAGTCCGTGCCCTTCGAGGGACTAGCTGGGGCCCTCCTGCCTCTAAGACCATCACCACCAGTGAGAGCTGGGGCTGTGGGCGGGGTGCTGGTTGGAGATCTGGATTTGAGGGTGGGTGGCTAGGAATCTGCCCCGCCCCTGTCCCAACCCCAGGAAGGCAGAAGGGAGTGGTGGGGTGGGGACAGAGCTCTTAGAGGGAAAGCTGGTGACTGAGGACCAGACTCCCCCCTGACCCCTCATCTCTCTGATCTGGCTAGTGATTGATGGCCCACAAGACCTCCGGGTGGTGGCTGTGACACCAACCACACTGGAGCTCAGCTGGCTGCGACCCCAGGCAGAAGTGGACCGATTTGTGGTGTCCTATGTCAGCGCTGGCAACCAGAGGGTGCGGCTGGAAGTGCCCCCAGAGGCAGATGGGACAGTGCTGACTGACCTGATGCCAGGCGTGGAATATGTAGTGACCGTGACGGCGGAGCGGGGCCGGGCAGTAAGCTACCCGGCTTCTGTCAGAGCCAACACAGGTATGGCTGGCCAGGCTTAGCCAAGGCTCCGTTTCTCTGTACAGCCGCCCCTTCCTTGGGGGCCCATGTCTAGGGTTCACAGTCTCCTCTGAACGTGCCTTGGTGGGGTGTGTTGGAAAGCACCTGCTGGGGCCTTGCTGTGTGATGGCTGCCCTGGTACCTTGGGGACTTGGGAGTCTTGCAGGAAGGCTGCGGGCTGGACCACAGGAGGAGCTGCCCCTGCCCCTCTGCCCCCAGAGAAGCAGGAAATAGGAGAGGCTGTCTGACCCACCAGCTGGGGCGGCAGGCACTTGAAACAAGGCACTGGGACAGCCCTGTGTTCACGGTGGTGGTCAGCCCTTGTAGGGACTGGAATCAGGCAGAGCAGAGATCGGCGTTGCTGGGCACTGTAGATTGGGGTTTGGGGAAGTTAGGTCTCAGAGCAGTGATTTTCCACTAATCCTCAAGGTCTCTTAACAGATGGATATTTATTTTCTTTTCCTGTGACAGAGGGACGCCCACCTCGCAGTAGCTCACATTCTCTCCTCCCACTCCCCTTTCTCTCCTTCAGACACAGGGCCCCACCTGCTGGCTTCTCTCTTCTTTCTAGGGCACCAACAGTGGCGGGCTTGGAGGGCGAGCGGGGAGGGGCTCCCGGGACACTGACTCCTTTCTCTGGTTCTCTTTCCAGGTGGGGCTGGGGCACAGGCGAGAGGCCTCTGGCTCCCGCGGGGGTGCGGGGGCAAGGGGGCGGAGGGAGGGGCTGCCGTGGGGAGGGGCTGCCACTGACCTGCTCTCCCCTTCCCCCTTTTTTGCCCCCGGCAGCACCAGGCCACTACAGTTACCCGGAGGTGCGCCCCCCAGCCCCGTCCCCCAAGCCCCGTCCCCGGCCGTCTCCGGCCCCGCGACCCCCGCGCCCCGCACGCCCCGCTCGGCCCTCGCGGCCCGCAGAGGAGGGCGAGGAGGAGCCTGGGCCTGAGCCTAGCCTGCCGCAGCCCCCTCGGCGGGCGTGGGGCAACCTGACGGGCGAGCTGGGCCGTTTCCGTGGCACTGTGCAAGACCTGGAGCGCCACCTGAGGGCTCATGGCTACCCACTGCGGGCCAACCAGACCTACGCGTCCGTGGCGCGCCACATCCACGAGTACTTGCAGCGGCGTCGGGCCGCCGCCGCCCCCGTCGGCCCCCCCGCCCCCTCGCCCCGCCGCCCCCACCCCACCGCCAGCCCCGACCCCGGCACCTGGAAGCGGGACTCCAACCAGGGCATCTACGGCCTCTCGCCCGAAGGCGTCGACCGGGTGGCCGCGCCCCGCCACCCCAAGCCCGAGGTGCTGGGCAGTTCCGCCGACGGCTCACTACTGGTGTCCCTTGACGGGCTCCGCGGCCACTTCGAGCGCGTGGTACTGCGCTGGCGGCCCCAGCCGCCGGCAGAGGGCCCTGGCGGGGAGCTGACCGTGCCGGGCACCACGCGCACCGTCAGCCTACCTGACCTCAGGCCCGGCACCACCTACCACGTGGAGGTCCACGGGGTGCGGGCAGGGCAGACCTCCAAGTCCTACGCCTTCATCACCACCACAGGTAGCATGGGCTGGGGCCACGGGATCACCCATCCCCTGCCCAGCCTCGCCTGCCATTGGAGTCTGCATCCAAGAGTGCCTCCCACCGCCTCACTGCTCAGACCGCCACTCCACCCCCACCACACCTCTTGGTCCAGGCTCCAGGGGACCCCAGCACAAAGCATGCCCTCCTGTTTCTCTAGAAGCCATCTCCACCCCAGGGGCCTCAGGGATACTCAGGGCCAAGGAGAGCTGGTCTTTAGCATTCCTCAGACACTTTGCGGGATTGCCATCCTGGGCAGTGGAAGGGACTTTGGGGGAAGGAGGCGGGTCTATGAAAATTCACAGGAGCAGTGTGAGTGGAGCACCCAGTGAAACCAGCACTTCCCCACTCTGACTCACTGTGGTGAGGATGGCTGAAGGCTGTGGTCAGTGGTTACTGTTTTCCACAGTTTGGCCTTGACCTCAAAGGGACACATCAAAACTGTGTGGGGATGGCCTTGAAGCCATCAGGCAGCTTGTGTCTGTGAGAGTTGAAACCACTGCTTCTTGAGCTGCCTTTCCAGACCTCCTGGCTCACGTCATGCTTGTCTCTTCCACAGGAACGATGCCGGGCTCAGGGGAGGGCTGCCCTAGGGAGGGTTGTGGATATATTTTCCCCCCGCCAGGGCCCAGATGCCACCTGAGCTGGATGCACCCCCCCCACACACACACATACTCTCTCTCTCTTCCCTCTCTCTTCAGTACCCACTCTTCCCTTGCATCTGCCTTCCCTAACACCACATCTCCTCCTTTCTTCCAGGCTTCTCACTGCAGCACTAATGGAAGCCACGACCACCACCCTCTGGGGAGGGGATGTGCTTAGGGAGGGACATGGAAGTCTGTGGGGGCTGGAGGTCCCCTTGTAAGGGGAGGGATGGCCGGCTTTATTGCTTTTATTTATTGCCTGCAGGCCTAACTGTTCAGAATTGTGGTTGACAGGGGTACTGAGAGGACTGGGTAGATCACTGGGAGGATGAGGTGGCCCAGGGAGTGGACTCAGAAGCAGAAGAGGGCAGGTCTGTAGGCTCTTAGAGGCTAGAAGGCAGAACCTGGGGGTTGGGATTTCCTTTCTCTCTCTCATTCTCAACCCTCCTGTTTTTCTCACCCTGCCCTTTCCCAGGGTCCTCTCCTTCAGGCCTCTTGGGAGCCACTGATGAGCCTCCTCCCTCGGGCCCTTCCACGACTCAAGGGGTCCAGGCCCCGGAACTGCAGCAACGTCCCCAGGAGCTGGGAGAGTTGAGGGTGCTGGGCAGAGACAAGACAGGGAAGCTCCGCGTTGCTTGGACTGCTCAGCCTGACACGTTTGCCCACTTCCAGCTCCGCCTTCGGGTGTCCGAGGGGCCAGGAGTGCATGAGGAACTACTGCCAGGGGACGTCCGCCAGGCTCTGGTGCCCTCACCCCCTCCTGGAGTCTCCTATGAGCTGTCACTTCGTGGGGTCCCCCCGGAGGGCGAGCCCTCTGCCCCTCTCATCTACCAAAGCATTATGGGTATATCCTGAACTCTGCTCAGCTCACTGTCCTGAGGATGGGGGAGGGGCTGGGCCATCAGGGCTTCAGAGGTGGGATGGGGACTGAAGGGTTGGGCTAGTGTTTGGGTTGGAATGGTAAGAGCAAGGAGAGAGAAGGTTGAAGTTGAAGGTTCAGAGGAAAGAGGAACGGAGGGAGTCTTAGAAGAAGGATGGGGTGCGGGGCAGGGGAAAAGAGGATGGGAGGAGAAAAGTCAGAGGCTGGGACTGGGAGTCCGAGAGAGAGGCTGTAGGCTTCTGGCTTTCCACCTGCAGCTTTCTTTGCCCTGTATCCTCCCCAATTCCTGGTCACTCATAGATCTCTGCATTTAGGCGTGGGAAGGCCTCCAGCCCTGAGGATACCAGCCCTTAGCCCCCTCTGCCCCTTCCCTTCCCCACAGTCCTTCCACCCCCACACTGGGTAGGCTAGGACAGTGGCCCCCTGCCCTGGGAGGCTGGCCTGCAGTGGACAGTGCTCCATGGTTGCTCCAGCCCGTTTCTGCTGGGGACGGAGGTTCCTTAGAGTAGGGCGCTCCCAGCCAGCAGGGCTTCAGAGATGGATGAGGTTGGTGGAACCAGTGAAACACTCACTTGCCCTCCTGGTCTCTCTTTATGGGACTCGGTCTCTGCTCTGCCTGCTCCTCCAGGTGAGATCCAGCACTAGGAGAGAGGGCGGCGGGGGAGAGAAAAGTCCAAGTGGACGGAGAGTCTCCACCTGCTCCAGAGCAGCAGTGAGGAAGCTCTGACTCAGGAACAACCTGGAGGGGGGATCCAAAACTCCCCCAGAGCTCTTGATGTGGCGAGGGATGCTTGTGAGGGGTGGGGAAGCTAGCACAAGGGAAGGGCCAAAGCTCTCACTGCAGAACAGTGGGCTGCTCTCGGAGGCCTGGGGGGGAGGAAGTAGAGGCCTTGAGGGACAGAGATGTCCAGGAAGGAGGGACCCAGTGGGCTGAGGAGAGGGAAGGAGACCAGGGACGAGGCAGTGGTCGAGGCCACCTGCTTTACTTTTGCCCCCACATTCTAGACAGGGATGGGGCGAAGCCTGGGAAGCCCTTGGCCCAGCCACGCCTGGGCGAGCTGATGGTGACTGACCCAACCTCCAACTCTCTGCTCCTGCACTGGACGGTCCCTGAGGGCGAGTTCGACTCCTTCGTGATCCAGTACAAGGACAGGGATGGGCCCCAGGTGGTACCTGTGGAGGGATCCCAGCGCTCAGCCCGCATCACTAACCTGGACGTCGGCCGCAAGTACAAATTTGTGCTATATGGGCTCCTGGGCAAGAAGAGGCATGGGCCCCTGGTGGCTGAAGCCAAGATCCGTGAGTGAGAGCAGTCACACCCACCCCTACCCCTGGCCCCTGCTTGGTCTTGAGGGAGGTCTTCCCAGTGCTATGGGAACTCCAGGAAGGTTCCCTGGAGGCCGTGGTGCCTGAGATGAATCCTGAAGGAAAAGCAGTGGTAGGTCCAGCAGAGGGGTTGAGGAGGGTGGTGCAGACAGAGGGAGCCATGGAGAGTGAGGCAGGAGCAAGTGCGGCCCTGGAGGAGAATCCGTCTATTTCCTCTGGATGGAGAGCAGGGCACCTGGGGAGCAGAAGGAACGGGGCTTGTGTGTGTCTGACTGAAGAGCTTGGAGCTGCTGTGAGGGCCCCGGCCAGTGGGGGGGAGGGGTGCTCTGAAGGGTTTTAAGTGGAAATGATGTGATTTGCTACTTATCTTACAAATAACATGGGGGCTGCTATAGAGAATTGCTGGAGAAGTGAGTTAAGAGCCAGCAAGAAATGATGCCGGCCTGCCTGGGATGGAGGCTTGTGGGAGGTGAAGGACAACGAGGAGGCCCAGGCCCTCCAGTGTTCCTAGAGCAGACAGTCCCTTGCGCTGAGGCGAGGAACAGTGGAGGTGAGGACCGGCACAGCTTGGGACACTTAGATAAACCTCTTCAGAGCATTTGTTAACAAGATGTTCTAAGTGTGCCAACACACTTAGTGGCTGTAGCAGCCCCGTGAGGCACGCCCATTTATAGATGAGGAGAGTCAAGGCACAGAGAGGGAGAAAATGGCGGGGCCGCGGCGGGGATCACTGCTGCCCTCATAAGTCTCGATTGCAGAGAGGAGGCCTGAAGAGTGGGCATGGGGGGACAGGAGACAGGGTGATGGCATGGGGGGAGCAGAGACAGTGGCTAGCACTCAGGGCATGGGCAGAGGAAGAGGAGCCTACAGGGCAGCCCGAGAGGGTGACTCGTGGAGAGGGGCACAGCCAGGGAGAGCAGTGTCCCAGATGCCAAAATGAAGGGCGTGGTCAGACATGTCAGATTCCATAGGAGTGATTCAGAGCTACAGAGTGTCCACAGCACTTAGCAGTGGCGAGGTCGCTGCTGGCCCTGGTGAGAGTTGCCAGTGGAGGGTGGAGCTCGATCGAGAGTCTGATGGAGGTGAGGACATGGCTACAACCAGTGTAGACGGCTCTTTCTGGAATCTGGGTTGGGACTAGAGAGCAAGGAGGGAGGCTGGAGGGAGCTAGCAGCCAAAGAGAGGAGCTCCTGCAAATGCCTGCGGCTCAGTGGGGGGTAGTGAAGGGTTGGTGGTGCAGGGTGGGAGAGAAGGAGATGGGACCCCAGCACAGGTGTGGGAGGCTCTCCTGCATTCAAAAGCTCCAGAGATGGTGCTTCCCTCTCTTGGAGGAGAAACCAGCTAGTAGTTAGGACTGGAAACAGTAGAGATTGTCCTGGAAGACTTCCCTGGCTATGGAGACACAGAGGGAGATGGCTGGGCTCCCTTCTCCCTGAAGCGCCTCACTAGGCTGCAGATGGGGCCACACTAGTCCATGTGGCACATCTGTGCCATTTAGAAGAAGGCACCTTGCCTTAGGTGAGCATAACTCTGTGCCAGGGCACACAGCTTGGCAAGCAGAGGCTGGCTGGATTTCAGTCCCTTAGTGCTCCCTCAATCATGCACCTTTGTGCAGTGAACAGCCTGCACAACCTCACACAGCATCCCTATGTGGGAGACAGAGTACCCCTCTTTCTTTGACCTGTGTTCCTCCTTTCTCTCTACCTCTCTCCCAGTGCCTCAGAGTGATCCTAGCCCAGCGACTCCACCCCGCCTCGGCAAGCTGTGGGTGACAGATCCCACCCCAGACTCACTGCGCCTCTCCTGGACTGTCCCTGAAGGCCAGTTTGACTCCTTCATAGTCCAATACAGGGATAGGGATGGACAGCCCCAAGTGATGCCCGTGGAAGGGCCTGAGCGCTCGGTCATTGTCTCCTCGCTGGACCCTAACCACAAGTACAGATTCACTCTGTTTGGGGTTGCCAACAAGAAGCGGCATAGCTCCCTCACAGCCGATGGGACCACTGGTGAGTGGTGACAACCTCTGCCCCCATGGGACCCCTCCCAACCTTCCCCACACTTGCCCTCAGCCAGGAACCAGGTGGGGCCTCCCAGTGTGATGGCTGACTCTGAATCCTGGCCCCACTCCCAGGCTGAGGGAGAGCCAGCCTCCCCCGTCCTGCTGGGTCCCTTCCATCCCATTCAGCTGCCCCCAAGGCCCAGAGGATGTGTCATACCCTGACTGTGCCAGACTTCCCAGGAGTTCAGCACTTCTAATTAATGCTAATAGTGACCCCCAGGTATGACGACCCATCCAAACCCCAAACACCAACCTGGGGCTGCCAGCACAGCCCTCACTGGATCCTCTTATTTCAGCCTCAGAGCAGAGAGCGGAGTCCCTCCACCCAGAGTCCCCAGCACAGCCCCTGCTGGGGGAGCTGTCAGTGACTCAGGCAAACCCAGACTCCCTGCGCCTGGCCTGGACCGTGCCCCAGGGCTCCTTTGACTCCTTTGTGGTCCAGTACAAGGATGCACAGGGCCAGCCCCAGGTGGTGCCTGTCAGGGGGGATGAGAACGAGGTCACCATCCCGGGCCTGGAGCCCCACCGGAAATATAAGATGAACATCTACGGGCTTCATGGCAGGCAGCGTGTGGGACCTGTGTCTGTGGTGGCCACCACAGGTGAGTCAGGGCCACCCAGGCCTCCCTCTGAGCATGACCCTGCCTGGGGGCTCCTTCAGACCTCCCTCCACCTTCTCCTTCTGGGCTCCAATCCTTCCAAGCGCCCCACATCCCAGGACCTCTCATCCAGCCACCAGCCCCTGGCCTTTTTCTCGGCTCTGCTTCTCCATCTCCAAGAATAGGTCCCATTTTCTCCCACCCTGAACACCTGGAGCACCTCCACCCCGGCCTGGCTGGGGTGGCTGTCATTTCTGGCTCCCGCAACCAGCTGCTTGCACCCTCCCACCATTGCTGCTCTGCTCAGTGCCTGCGGATCCAAGGCACAAGAGTCCCTCGTTTCCCCCAGCTTCTTTCTGGCATGAAGACACCGTATCCAGGACCCGCAGATCCCTAACTCCCAGCCAGCCGGGAGCAGGGCAAAGGGCCCTCATTCCTCCACCCTTTCAGCCTCCCCTGGTCAGCATCGTTTCCATGGTTGTGTAGCCTTGTGGTTGGGAGCACAGGCTCTGGATCCCACTGCCTGTATTTGAAGCCTAGCTCTGCCATTTGCGACCTGTGGGACCTTGTGTAAATTACTGAACCTCTCTGAAGTTCAGCTTCCTCATCTGTCCAATGAGGATAATGGTATATGCTTCACAGGGTCATTAGAATTAAATCAGTGTACAAGCATACATGCTTAGAATAGCGCCTGACACATCAAAGCTGCTATTCAGGAGTGAGCTGCTGTTTCTCCCTGACTTTCTCCCTGCCCAGTATCCTTTTCTTCTCATCTCCCTACTTTGTCCAGCCTTGCCTGCTCCCTCCTCGATCTTCTGTCCCCTTGGTGGTACTCCATGGACCAGGGAGTGGGTCACAGAAGCCAGTCTCCCTTCTTCATGGAACCTCAGTGAAGATGGTGGACAGGTGCCTCTGGGGCTGTGGTTCTAGATGCAGCCAGGGAAGGGCACGGCTCTCACCAGCCCCTTCATCCCCACATCTTTCTCCCACCCTTGTCTGAAGTGGAAGGAGGGACAGGGCTGCCTGAGGAGGCCTTAGCCAGGGCACATTCTGTCTGGTGTCCTGGTAAGTGGAGTGGGGCTGCTGAAAAACCCTGTGGGGGTGCTGGAGCCGAAAGGGAGGAAGGCAGATGGGAAGAGGCCTTATGGCCCCCTTGATTGCCAGAGGTCAGCACTGTCTATGGATGCAGTAGAAAATTCCTCAGGATTTCCTCTGTTCCCATCTCAGCTCCTTTCTCAGACGTGAGCCCAACCCAACAGAAGCCAGCAATATAATCCTTCCAGCAGTACTGACAGGGGCCAGGGGCCTGTCCCAGCGTCCTGAGTTACTGAATGGCTAATACAAAGGCTACCAAACCCCGAAGACTACAGCTTGAGGACTTTGTTTGCTGAATGTACTTTATTGTCATAATCAACTAACAAAGCAAGTCACACTGCAAGCCTGTATCCCCTATGTATTCTCTCAGCCCCCCAGGACCTTGTGGAGGAGACGCCTAGCCCCACAGAACCCAGCACGGAGGCCCTGGAGCCCCCCGAGGAGCCCCTCCTGGGGGAGCTGACGGTGACAGGATCCTCCCCAGACTCGCTGAGCCTCTCCTGGACCGTCCCCCAGGGCCACTTCGACTCTTTCACTGTCCAGTATAAGGACGGGGACGGGCGGCCCCAGGTGGTGCGTGTCAGGGGTGATGAGAACGAGGTCACCGTCGGGAGCCTGGAGCCGGGGCGCAGGTACAAGATGCACCTGTATGGCCTGCACGAGGGGCAGCGCCATGGCCCCGTGTCCACCATGGGCGTCACCGGTGAGTGTGGGAGGAGCCTGCCTCCTTCTCCTCCCCTCAGTGGCCCCCAGCTTCCCCAAGGCCATGGCTCTCCCTTGCTGCATGGTAGCATGACCACCCCCTCATTGCTTGGGGGACACCCAGACAGAGCAGTTCACTGGGGACCAGGCTATAGCCAGCTTTGTGACCTTGAGCAATTTTAAACTTTCTGTGCCTCTGTTTCCTCAGGTGCAAAAGGAGGATAGTAACAGGCATCCTGCAGAACTGTAGTGGGGATTAAATGAGTTAACAGACAGGAAGCACTAAGAAAGGGTCAGGCACAGAACACACATGCTGTTGGTGTAGCCATAAGGAGGATTATAATTGACCCTGGTCTGGGTCTGCTGTGCCCCCTGTGGCTCGTTCTGCAGCTTAGCTAATCAGATGAGCAGGAGACATCAGCCTGTTTGTCAGTGCAGCTGGAAAGTTTCTTTACGGCTCATCCAGTGAGTTACTTTATAGCAAAAAGGGACATCCCTTCCATCTCCTCTAGAGCACCACAAAGGACCCAGCCCAGAATCTCTTCTCCAGAGTCTCAGCACCAGGGGCCAGAACCGAGGCAGGCCACTGGGACTTGGGACTCTCTTGCTGACCTGCCCAGCTTGGCTATAGCAAGGGGTGTCAGTCTCTTTTCCCTTTACTCAAAGACACACCTTTTTCAAAAACATCTTTTACTATAAGGGGAAAGATGAAAAACTTAAAAGCAGAGAAATGGGTTTTCAGAACACGGTTCCTGTACTTCCACAAAGCCCAACCTCACAGTGACTTGGCTGGCTTAATTTCCAGAACCTTCTACTCATTTCTTTTCATTCTTCAAGTAGCTCTGAGATTAAGGAGAAGGGAAAGCCACCCTGAGTTACTGTCCTGTGGGCCCAAAGAAGCAGGGTGGGAGGCTCATGCCAAGCCCAGATATGCTGCCAAGGATTCTTTTCAGGTGCCCCTCTGTCTGCTGCCTTTCCCAGGCGGCCACACTGGGCTCTGTGAGTCCCTGGCCCTGGCCCCCAGGGAAGAACGGACTGTGTTGGGTGCTGACTGAGGCAGTGCAGTAAAGGAAAATGGAGATCAGGTATTTGACAGACTGAGTTCTCTTTATGGCTCCCCTGGTTCTCAGCTTCGTGATGGAGCATGACGTTCATTGTCAGAGCAGGAAGGTGATGGGTAGCTAGAGCCTGCTGAGCTGTCCAGGGGGCTGTGCCCGGCCCACGGTATGTGCTCTACCACTGCCAGGATGAGAGGCCAGTTAGAAACACTTCTAATAAGAAAAAGATGATGTCCAGTGCAGCCTGGGGAGCGCCATGTTCGTGGGTAGTGGTAGTTCCACCTTTTTCCGGTTAAGACAAGCCACAACAGTCAGGCTCGTTTGATGGTGATAGACCATTTCTCTTCCTCACGGGAAGACTTACAGACAGGACAGAAGTGAGCCGGAAGTGGATGGGACAGGAGGGATCAGAGCTGCAAGGAACATGAAACACTGCCAGGCCTGCTACCTGGTTCCTAGTAGATGCTTGCTAACATGGCGGCCACTCCTAGCCCCTCAGCTGCCTTCATCCCTGCCCTCCCCACATAGACTCAGTTGTCTTTCTGAGGCTTCCCAAACAGGTTTTCCTCTGCCTGGAGCCTGATCTTATCCTCCCACAGAAGCCAGAGAAAGCAACTCTTGGGAGCCACCCGCCCCCGTCACCACCTCCACTGTCTTACTTCTGGGGACCACCTTCCATGTTTGGTCACTATTGAGGAGTGCCCCCCAGACTTAGCTGATTCTTGCATGGTGGGGCCCACCGGGTCCCGAGCTGGGCCTGTCCCAGCCAAGTCATGCAGACCACTCATGAGTTTAACAAATGTTTGTGGAGCACCCACCATGTGCTGGGCAACAGGGACACAGCAGTAAACAAGGCAAAGCACCCCCACTGGGAGCTCATGTTCTAGTAGAGGGAAACAGACACCAGACTGCCCACATTTGTCTGTGGTACCATCTGTGACAGTGATGAGCCCTGGAGAAAAGTCCAGCAGGTGAGATGGTGAATTGGTGGGAAGGAGGTGGGAAAGGGCTTCCCTGAGGTTAGAGCCGAGGGAAGGACAGGACAAGGCACGTGCACCTTTGGGAAGAATATCCCGGGCAGAAGAAAGTGACCCGACCCTCTGTGGATAAGCCAGGAACGTCTGGAATGGAGAGCAGCTATGTGAGAGGTGATCGTGGGACCTCAGAGGTCATTGTAAGGACTTGGTTTTTGCCCTGAGTGAGATGGAAGTCATTGCGAGAACAGGCTCTGACTAATGGGTCAACAGGGATCAGAGGCAGGGGGAGGGTGGAGGAGGGAGAGGATTTAGGAGACCCATGTAGCCCAGTGGGACTAGTGGTGCTTGGAGATGGTAGCAGTGGAGTGGAGTTAGCGAGGGGGGTTGGCTTCTGAAGGTCCTGCCAACAGACCTTCCTAGCCGGCTAGGTTTAGAGTGTGGGGGGACTCGGGGACAACACCCAGGATGAAGTGGTGGCTTTGCTGGGGTGGGGAGGTCATGACCAAGCAGGTGTGGGGGGCAGTCCCTGAGCTTGCTTTTGGACTTCATGAGTTTGAGACACAGACCAAGCACCCAAGGAAGATGCGAGTCTGTAGGTCCTGGGGTAGGGGACTTGGAGCCAGTGACCTACAGGTGGAAGTTCAGCCACTCTCCCAGGGTTTCGGTGACACCCCTCCCCAACCCCAGCACAACTTCAGGTCCTGGCGGGAACTTAGTGAGGGCTCGTGGCCAGGCAGACGTCGCCAATCAGTGTAGTTCTACATCAGGACAACTCGTGGATGCTACAAAAACAGACGTAATTACTAACAAGGGAAAGAGGAGCTTTTCCTAACTGCTTTCCACCGTCTGTCTCAGCTCCACACCCAGAAGAGACCCCAGCCACAGAGCCGCCCCTGGAGCCACGCCTGGGGGAGCTGACAGTGACCGATGTGACCCCCAACTCCGTGGGCCTTGCATGGACAGTCCCCGAGGGCCAGTTTGACTCCTTTGTGGTCCAGTACAAGGACAGGGACGGGCAGCCCCAGGTGGTGCCTGTGGCCACAGACCAGCGCGAGGTCACCATCCCCGGCCTGGAGCCTGCACGCAAGTACAGGATGAACTTCTATGGGCTACATGATGGGCAACACATGGGCCCCCTCTCTGTAGTAGCTGTGACCGGTGAGTGAGCAGGGGTGAGGCAGCTCACATCCCTGGCTACCCAGAATCCCCCATCCCACAAACACTCTCTCAGGTTCTGCCTGGCAGGCCTCCATAGGTCCTTCCTGAGGTCACAGGCACAGTAGTCTGTTCCTTGACTCCTTGGCCTCTTCCCTAGGCTAGAACTTTCCCTGTCCTCCAGTCCCTCTCCATTTTGCCTTCTCCCTCAGGCAAGAATGTCTTGCTTCCATCTGACCTAAATCTGACTCTGTCTCCCCTGATTGTCCACAGCTGTTCCCTTCCTTTCTCTCAAAACCCTGCTGTGACTTGGCCATAGCCAACACTTTCCCCTGATGTTCTTTTTCTATTGGGCTTCAATGACACACATCCCTTGAATCTCTTCTCAGAAGCCCTTAGTGCCCTGAGTGCTATAGCCTTCCTTTCTCCTGGAAGTGGCCCTTGTTCTTGGGTCCCTGGGGACAGGTTGCTGCCATTTTTCTACCACGGTGTCTGATGAAACCCATGGACCCCTCTCAAAGCAGGGCTTTAAAATCTATAACATAGGGGTGCCTGAGTGGCTCAGCCATTAAGCGTCTGCCTTCAGCTCAGGTCATGATCCTGGGGTCCTAGGATGTAGTCCCGCATTGGGATCTCTCCTCAGTGGGAAGCCTGCTTCTCCCTCTCCCACTCCCCCTGCTTGTGTTCCCTCTCTTGCTGTGTCTGTCTCTCCCAAATAAATAAATAAAATCTTTTTAAAAAATCTGTAACGTATATGCATAAGGTTAGAGAGGAAACCAGTTATACTGATGTTCAATTATCAAAATATTTTAAATTCAAGTTTATGACTTAGTAATACAGGAACTCTTTATCAGTTCATTAAATAATAAGTCTTGGGGCATGTGTCATAACCTACCCACATTTCAAAGGAGGGAAGAGTGTAAACGTACTTTTTAGTTTGCACAGTTATTCTAAGGTGACATGAACACAGTCCTAGGTATGCTGACACCACAGTGATCACCAGAGGAAGTGCTACATTTCAGTGAGAGGTCAGGGAAAATATCAATGTGACTGTGTCTCATCTAGCTCAAGGACCCTTGAGGCCCTGGGAACCCAGGAGCCCTTCAGGGTTGGGGGCGGGTGTTTTCCTGCCCAAGGTCTCAGCCACGTTCTGTGTTTTTCTGGATTCTAGCTCCCCTCCCCACAGCCCCAGCCACAGAGTCCCCCCAGGAGCCACAGCTGGGGGAGCTGACAGTGTTAGACATGACCCCAGACTCCGTGACCCTCTCCTGGACGGTCCCCAACGGTGAATTCGACTCCTTCATGGTCCAGTACAAGGACAGGGATGGGCAGCCCCATGTGGTGCCCGTGGCCGCAGACCAGCGTGAGGTCACCGTCCCCGGCCTGGAGCCCAGCCGGAAGTACAAGTTCCTGGTCTACGGGCTTCAGGATGGGAAGAGACGCAGCCCAGTCTCTGTAGAGGCAAAAACAGGTGAGAGGCCCCCAAGCCCCCAGCAGTCTGCCCACCCTCTTCACACTGCCTAGTCTCTCTCCTTCTGCTTGTCTTCCCTGTGTCCACCTCTTCTGTTTTGTTTAAAAAGCCATACTGCTGGGGCGCCTGGGTGGCTCAGTGGTTAAGCCTCTGCCTTCAGCTCAGACCCTGCCTTCAGTCTCAGGGTCCTGGGATCGAGTCCCGCATAGGGCTCTCTGCTCAGCAGGGAGCCTGCTTCCCTTCCTCTCTCTCTCTGCCTGCCTCTCTGCCTACTTGTGATCTCTGTCTGTCAAATAAATAAATAAAATCTTTAAAAAAAAAAAAAAGCCATACTGCTGACCTGGTTCAGGGCAAATGAGAACCAGGAAAACAGGGCCAGGTCCTGGGTCTGCGCTTCCCACTGACTTTTCCTCTCTTCTCATAATTTTCACTGCTATTGAATGGGGGAAGTCCCTTAGGACCCTTCCTGGAAGGTGGGACATGGGAGACTGGGAGTGCTGGGGGAGGCCCAAGGGAGTCAGGAGCCCTTTCCACCTGCTGGGCCTTGCAGCCCTCAGCTTTGTGTAGCCCTCACCTCCTGAGAGTTTTGCTGTCACCCTCTTTCTTATCCTACTGGCTCAGGCCCATCGGATCCCCTCTTTGCCTTCCCTGGAGGGCCCTTTTCCTCCTGTGCCCTCTTCCCAGGGCCTCGAAAACTGGGAAGCAGAGGAGCCCAGGGCTGGAGGCCCAGCCAGGCCCATTCGGGCCCAGACCAGCTGTGCCCCTTTCCTGGGTTTCAGTCCAGGCCCTCCCCTGCCCCTGGGGGCTCCCTGATGCCAGAAAACTCTAGCAATAACAATGCTGTCAGCGTCCTCACTGGCCAAGAAGGCAGCAGGCCAGCTCCTTCTCAGGCCTCAGGATGGCTTTGGGGCAGACACCAGATCCTTTCTCCATGTGAGCTCCCCTCCTCCTCCCCTGCTCCCCACACCAAGTAGACAGTCCCTACTCCTCCACCAGGCCCTAAGAGGGCCACCTCCAACATAACATCCTGCTTTCTCATCTGCTGTGTATACTTGTCAGGGATCCTGTGCCCCCTCCGATGTCCTTAGGACCTCAGATTTCCCCAGGGGCCAGGCAAATCACAGTGGGTAGGCTCCTTGGTAAAAGGAAATAAGTAAATCAAGCTGTACCCTGATAGGAACATAGTCTCTAAGAAGTGGGAAGAATCTGGACAGCAGGAGGAATAAGATAAGCAGGAAGCTAGCGATTCTTTTTTCCCCCAGAGATGTCCTGTTGGCTAAGTGGAGGGAGGCATGGGACAGTTGGGGATGGTGGCAGAGATGGGAGGGTGATGGAAATATTTTGGGGAAGCACTGATCATTTGGGCAGTCCTGGGTTTTTCCAACTCTAGTGGGAAGCAGTCAAAGAGTCATTCTGGAAAAAAATAAACACAAGAATCTTTCCTCTCTGTCAGCTGCCCAAGGTGACGCCAGCCTCAAGGCCCCCCCCCGCCTGGGGGAGCTGTGGGTGACAGATCCCACCCTGGACTCACTACACCTCTCCTGGACTGTGCCCGAGGGCCATTTTGACTCCTTTGTGGTCCAGTTCAAGGACAGAGATGGGCCCCACATGGTACCCGTGGGAGGCCACGAGCGCTCGGTCACCGTCACCCCTCTGGACCCTGGTCGCAAGTACAGATTCCTCCTTTATGGGCTCCTGGGCAAGAAGCGCCATGGCCCCCTCACTGCTGAAGGCACCACAGGTGAGGGCATCCCCGCAGGGTCAAGCTCTTCTCCCGGAGCTCCCCTGGGGTTGGCGGCTGCACCCAGCCGGGCCAGGGAAGAGGGTAGTCACTTGTGCTGGCTTCCATCACAGTACTTACTCTCCTCACACAGTCCCATAACACTAGCCCTATAGGACTCAGCTATGGCAAAGCCCTGTCCCAGACCTCTCAGTCCTGCCCTTTGAGGTCACCCACTACCAGAAACAGCTCAGCCGCCTTCTCTGTGTCTCCCTCTCAGAGCCCAGGAGTGGTGTGGACGATGCTAGAACAAAGCACCCCCCAAAGCCCCGTCTCGGGGAAGAGCTACAGGTGACCAGCGTGACACCAGACTCTGTGAGCCTCGCGTGGACGGTCCCTGAGGGCCACTTTGACTCCTTTGTGGTCCAGTACAAGGACAGGGACGGGCAGCCCCAGGTGGTCCCTGTGGAGGGCAGCCTCAGGGAGGTCAGCGTCTCTGGCCTGGACCCAGCCCGCAGGTATAAGCTGCTGCTGTACGGGCTGCACCAGGGCAAGCGTGTGGGTCCCATCTCTACCATCGCCTTGACTGGTGAGTGAGGCTGTGGCCGGAAGTCACTGCCCCGCCTTCCGGCTTCAGCTCTCCTGGTCTGACCGAGCCAGGGGGTTTCTGAACTGCTTATTTCCCTTCTTTTAGGGGAAGGGATAGCATTATTGAGGCATAATTCACATACAATTTTATATGAACAATGCGTTTTGGTAAATATGTAAGTCATGAATCCATTACCACGATTGAGATACAAAAGATTTCCGTTGACCCCAGAACCCATTTCCTCATGCCCCTTTGCCATCAGTTCCCCCAATGCCAGCCTCTGTCAGCCACTAATTCCTTTCTCTCCTTACACTTTTGCCTTTGTAAGCCTCTCACTTAACAGACTCCTATAATACATACTCGGTGCTTGGTTTCTAACACTTAGCATAATGCTTTGGGAATTCATCCTCGTGTTCCATAGTTGGTCCTTTCTACTACTGACCTCTAGCCTTCACCTCCTCCCCTCCTTCCCTCTCACTGGAGAGACTTGTGGAGACAGACCAGTCACCCATCTCTGTCTCTCCGAACCAGCCCCCAGAGAAGATATCGATGCCGAGGCCCCAAGTCCTCCAGGGCCTGAGCCCCGCCTAGGGGAGGTAACTGTGGAGGAAGCGACACCAGACACCTTGCATCTCTCCTGGACCGAGACTGAGGGCGATTATGACTCCTTCGAGGTCCACTACACAGACCAAGATGGGCAACTCCAAGTGGTCAGGATAGATGGTGACCGGAATGATGTCATCCTCTCTGGACTGGAATCTGAACACAGATACCTAGTGAACCTGTACGGTTTCCGTGGCCAGCAGCGTGTGGGTCCTGCCCACATCGAGGCCCTAACAGGTAACCAAGGAGAACTCTACTATAGCTCCTTCCTCCAAGTGGCTGGGAGAGCCCAGAGGAGAGCAAACTCCCTAAGGTCACCCGGCCCCTCTCTCAGGTCCATCTTGTTCTCTCTCGTGTCTCTGTTCAGCCCCAAGGGAAGAGGAAGATGAACCTTCAGAACCTCCCACCAAGCCCCGCCTCGGGGAGCTAGCCGTGACCGACGCCACCTCCGACTCGCTGCACCTCTCCTGGACCGTCCCCGAGGGCCAGTTTGACCACTTCCTGGTGCAGTACAAGAACGGGGACGGGCAGCCCAAGGCTGTCCGCGTCCCGGGTTATGAGGAGGGGGTCACGGTGTCAGGCCTGCAGCCAGACCACAAGTACAAGATGAACCTATATGGCTTCCACGGTGGCCAGCGCGTGGGCCCAGTCTCTGCCATTGGGGTGACAGGTGAGTGGATGGTGGAAGCCCCAGGGCGGGGCCAGTGGGAGGATCTCCCTCTCTCAGGTGATGGGTGACTGGGTGCAGGAGGCCCCCATGCTTGAGGCTGAGCCATGGGGCCCTTTGTGCCTCCCTCCTTCCCCGGGGGCTCCCTGAGGACAGAGGGTTCCTCCCGTGCAGAGWGGRGCCTCYGKGAGCTRTGCTGCTGGCTGSTCAGGGTACCAACGGCTGRCCCTGTAGGCTCCCAGGCATGTTTGTGAGATGTYRGCRGAGYGARCCCACCCAGCCYCAAGGRTGGSCTTYKCTGAGCTWAATTTGGGGGCCCCYGGCCSTGGTCACAGYTTYTCCATCYTTCTCCCAAGACCTGAGGCCSTCTCCTGSRGCTYCTGCMTCACCTGCTCTKTGTCTGTCYTTCTCAGCYGCAGAGGAAGAGACCSCAGYGCTCCCYGAGGTGGAGGAGACRCCCAGCCCCACAGAACCCAGCACAGAGGCCCCGGAGCCCYCCGAGGAGCCCCTCCTGGGGGAGCTGAYGGTGACAGGATCCTCCCCAGACTCGCTGAGCCTCTCCTGGACCRTCCYCCAGGGCCACTTCGACTCCTTCACTGTCCAGTACAAGGACGGGGATGGGAGGCCCCAGGTGGTGCGTGTCAGGGGTGATGAGAACGAGGTCACCGTCGGGAGCCTGGAGCCGGGGCACAGGTACAAGATGCACCTGTATGGCCTGCACGGCGGGCAGCGCCAGGGCCCCGTGTCCACCGTGGGCATCACTGGTGAGTGTGGGCGGGGACCCTGTGCCCAAGGTCTCCTTCCATTTTCTCTTGTTTCCCCCCTTTGGATCTCAGCACCTCAGAGATGGTCCTTTAAGTGCCTCTCCTTTCTCTTATGACACTAATGGTCCTGTGTCATCCCTTAGTTGAGTGAGGATGGTGGAGACGGCGTTCTCCGTCTGTTGGCGTGTACCTGTGCTTCATAAATTGTACTTGTCTTCTTGATCTTGCTTCATTCTTCATATATGGCCTCCTCAGGCTTCCCGAGTATTTTACTGACTCCAAATGCAGCTGCAGGACCAGATTCTCTGGTTTGATTCCTGCTCTAGACGAAGTGATTGTATGAATTCATGAACATTTCTTAACTTCTCTGTGCCTCAAATCCACGCAGAATGGGGATGCTAATGGCAATGGCATCTCCTTCATATGTTGTGTGAGGATACGTGTGCTGGTGTGTGAGCTGCTTACAGCCATGTCTGGGACACATTAAACACGTTAGAAGAGCTTGCTACAAAACGTTTATTTCATAGCCTGGGGAAAGCACTCCCTCTCTTTTGAAGGGTCCTGCCTTTGGCCCCTCAGCCTCCTCTGCTCTGTTCCAGGCTTCCTACCCACAGAGCCTCCTGTAGCACCCCGCCTTGGGGAGCTGGCTGTAGCAGCTGTGACCTCCGATACAGTGAGCCTCTCGTGGACAGTGGCCCAGGGTCTCTTCGACTCCTTCCTGGTCCAGTACAAGGATGTGCAGGGGCAGCCCCAGGCGGTGCCTGTGGGCGGACACCTCCATGAGATCACAGTATCGGGCCTGGACCCGGCCCGCAAGTACAAGTTCCTGCTCTTTGGCCTCCGGGATGGGAAACGCCATGGCCCAGTGTCTGCAGAGGCAAAGACAAGTGAGTGAGGGCTGGAGGCTGGAGGCCGTCTTTGGCATAAGAGCCTCCTGAGTGCGCTTTCGCCCCCTTGTGCTGACAGTTAGAATTTCCTGTTGCCGCGCTCCACACTCCAGACCTCAGGGCCTGTGGACCTGCTTATTTCCTATGTCCAGAGCACCCCCCTTACCCTTCTCATCCTTCTCCCTCCTCTTCCTCCATCCTGAGAGACGCTGCTTTCTTTCCTGGCTCATCTTTTCATCCTTCTGCTGTCCCACTTACTGCCATGTGGCCTAGCCAGCCCCTCCCAGCTCCCAGAACCAGCTCCCAGAGCCCTTGCACCCTGGGGAAGCTCTGCCAGCCTGTCACCATTTCTGTCACTCTCCATACACCTCTCTCTCTTTTCCAGTCTCAGACATGAAATCTCCCCTCCTCGGGGAGCTGACAGTGACAGACGTGACTCCAGACTCCATGACCCTCTCCTGGATGGTCCCTGAAGGTGAATTCGACTCCTTCGTGATCCAGTACAAGGACAGGGACGGGCAGCCTCGCGTGGTGCCCGTGGCCACAGACCAGCGCGAGGTCACCATCCCCGGCCTGGAGCCCGGCCGGAAGTACAAGTTCCTGCTCTACGGGCTGGCAGGCAGGAAGCGCCTGGGCCCCATCTCTGCTGATGGTACCACAGGTGAGCCCCCGCACTGCACCCCACCTTTTCTAGAGCTGCCTTCTCTTGTGCCCCCAGAGCCAACCCCCCACCGACCTATCCATGCCTCCAGCCTTTATTCTCCTACCTTCAGCCTTTGCCACAGCAAAAACAAATATTTACTAAAAAAAAAAAAAAAAACACAAAAAAACCCCACAAATATTTACTGAGTCTCGGTCGTGTGCCAGACACTTTCCTAAGCATGTTATAGGCATTATTGCCTTCATTCGCTGACTGCTGATGTCATAAAAAGAATCCAGTCTTTGGAGCCAGGCAGACCTGTGTTCAAATTCCAATTGCTGGTGGTGTGGCCACGGACAGCCACTTCCTTCCCTTGAACCGCAGTTTCTGTACCTGCGTAGGCATAATAAATACGGATTGGCACTCCATAAATGTTCCCATCCTCTTGCTTCTGTCCCAGCTGAGGCAGGAGGTGGAAAATATGGAAGGGTTTGGCTGCAGAAAGACTATGGAAAAATCTGGTGTCATTGTGCCCATTACTCAGCCCCCTGAGGAAAGGGTGGAGGTGGGTCACTGACCCTTACCCTACTCCCAGGACCGTGAGTCACCCTGGCCAGATGGGGATGGAGCACATGGTCAGTTGGGGCCTGGTACCCTGAGACTGCCTAATTCTCTTCCCTACCTCCCATTGTAGGGAGTGGATGTAGGCTTCTCTGACCCTATCAGCCAGCACCCATCCCCATCGGGGCAGCCTCTTCTGCATTCTGCCCTCCATTCTCCCAGTGCTGCCCCACCCCACTGCCCTGGTCCAGGACTAGTAGTGCAGGGCTGGGCAACTGGGTAGAAGGACGACCCAGGCTGATAGCAAGGGAGGGGGAGGTCATGGCCAAGCTCTGGGAGCCCATCAGCTTGGCTGGCTGCCAGCCCAGCTCTTAAGGTTTAGGGATATCTCCCTGACAACCCAGATACACGCTGGGAGCCTTTCTGGGCTCTGGCCACATCCCTGCTCAGGGGGCCAGGGAGAAACTAAGGCCCTTCTCTACCCCCACCAGGGGCCCTATGTCACAAGGTGATCTTTTATGCATTTACTGCACCCTGGTCACAGCAGGGAGGGAGTGGGGGTAGGAAGGAGTGAGGGCAGTGGCCTCCAGAGGAGAGATGGAGCTGCTGGCTGTCCTTCCTTTGGGCAGATGGAAGCCACACTGCAGGGACCCTCTCCTAGAGCCTCGTGCCTCCCAGAAGGCGCCAGGGCTGCGGTAGAGGTAGCTCTTGACGGAGTTTCTCTTCCCGCTCTCACCACAGCTTCCCTGGAGAAGGAGCGGCAGCGCCTACCCCGCCTCGGGGAGCTGACAGTGACAGACGGGACCCCAGACTCCCTGCGCCTCTCATGGACGGTGGCCCAGGGCACGTTTGATTCCTTTATGGTCCAGTATAGGGACCCAGCTGGGCAGCCGCAGGCAGTGCCTGCAGCCAAAGACCAGAGGGAAGTCACCATAGAGCGTCTGGAGCCTGGCAGGAAATACAAGTTCCTGCTGTATGGGCTCCACGGGGGACAACGCCTGGGCCCCGTCTCTGTCCTGGGAGTGACAGGTGAGCAGAAAGTCGAAGGGACTGGCAGGAGTGGGCCTGGGGGATAAGGAGGCCTGCACAGAGCTCGGGAGGGAGGGAAGTGTGGTGGGGCCTTCTTGGATGGTAGCCAAGGAGTCTGTGGAGGTAGGCACAGGGCAGGCACAGGAAAGGCCCTGGCAATGGCCCCCAGCCTCCCAACATCCCCCTGCTGCCCCATGCTGACAGCTGTTCTCCGTAGTCCCTCTCCTGAGGCAGCTCTTACCGGACAGAGGCAAACCCCCTCCCGTGAATGAGTCAGGAGCCTTTTCTCTCAAGTGGAAAATAACTGGAGAAGGACATAGGCGAGAGGCGCTGGGAGAGCGGGCTCCTCCCTGGGACATGCCGACACCCCGCTCAGCTCAGGGGGATGCAGCACGTGGGCCCTTCTCTGTCCTCAGCTCTTCTGCAGAGGCCACGTGCCCGAGCTCAAGGAGTGACCAGCAGCACAGGCACCCGGGGGTTGGGGAGGGTGGCAGGCTGCACACACACCTTCGGGGGGTGGGGGCGGCGCGAGAGGCTGCGGAGGTGGAGAAGGGGAAGCAAGGGCAGGACTCGACACAGTAAACCCTCCTGCAGAGGGGTGATGGGGCCACAGTGCTGGCACTCACAGGGGCCCAGCAGTAGCTGGACTCAGTGCCACCGCAGAGAATGGCAGGTTCGCGAGAAGGAAGATGGCTGAAGAGCCTCGATCACCACCCCTCGCGCCCCCTCTCAGCTTCTCCCCTGGGCTTCTCCCACGCAGCCCCGGAAGTGGACACGCCAGGCCCCTGGCACCCTGCCACAGAGGCTCCTGAGCCCCCTGCAGGGCCCCAGCTGCAGACACTGGCGGTGAGCGACATAACCCCAGACTCCCTGCGCCTCTCGTGGAGTGTGGCTGAGGGCCCCTTTGACTCCTTCGTGGTCCAGTATCAAGACACAGATGGGCAGCCCCAGGCCTTGCTTGTGGATGGCAACCAGAACAAGGTGCAAGTGTTAGGCCTGGAGCCCAGCACCTCCTACACATTCTTCCTCTACGGCCTCCATGAAGGGAAGCGCCTGGGGCCTGTCTCCACTGAGGGCACCACAGGTATGACCAGGCCAGGGCCCTCCACCGAGGCCTCCCCCACATCTGGTCTGGGACCAGCAGGGCTGATGGGGTGCCCAGGCACGGTGACTATAGCAACAGAACGTGAGGAGGGCTCTGCAGAGGGGGGAAGGTGTGCTGACAGCCCCCGCTCTACACACACATGCTCACTACGGGTCCCACCTGAAGCGCTTGCCCCTCATTAGCTCCATTCACAGATGACAAACTCAGGGCAGGCCCGGGACAGAGCCAGAGCCAGAGCCCCACCCCAGGCCACCCAGGCTGTGTGCTTCTGTCCCCCACCCACTCTGTGCAGGGCCTGCTCCTGCTGGCCTGACCCCCGGGGAGACAGGGCCCCACCTGTCCCAGCTGTCCGTGACCGATGTGACCACCAGTTCCCTGCGGCTCAACTGGGAGGCCCCCTCAGAGGCCTTTGACTCCTTCCTGCTCCGCTTCGGGGTCCCATCGCCAAGTACCCTGGAGACGCACCCGCGTCCCCTGCAGCAACGGGAGCTGACAGTGCCAGGGTCACGGCGCTCGGCTGTGCTCCGGGACCTGCGCCCAGGGACCCTGTACAGCCTGACAGTGTATGGGCTGCGGGGGCCCCATAAGGCCGACAGCATCCAGGGCACAGCCCGCACCCTCAGCCCAAGTAAGGCCCTGCAGGGGGCACCTTCCTGTGCTGCCCTGAAGTGAGGGGTCTGTACATCGTAGGGCGGGACCTCGTGTCTCAGCCAGCTGGGGGTGGTGCTTGGCAGGTGGTGGGGGCTGGAGATGTCTACAGAGACATTCTCTCCTGGGTCTAGAGGAAAGGGGTAGGTGAGCAGGGCTGGAGCCACTGGAGCCCCGGAAGAGGCAGGGGTGAGGATCCTGAGTCAGGAGCCTTGTTGCCATGTGCCCTTACTGCCGTCTCGACACACCCTCTCTGCAGTTCTGGAAAGCCCCCGTGACCTCCAGTTCAGCGAAATTGGGGAAACCTCGGCCCAGGTCAGCTGGATACCTCCAGCATCCAGAGTGGACAGTTTCAAAGTTTCCTACCAGCTGGCAGATGGAGGTGACACACTTTTGCCCATGTCCTCATTTGCCCTCATCTCTCCTGCTCCATTCACTCTGCTCACTTCCCAGGGCGAACTCCTGAGGCCACTGTGTTTTCAGGGGAGCCACAGAGTGTGCAGGTGGACGGCCGAGCGCGGACCCAGAAACTCAAGGGGCTGATCCCAGGCTCTCACTATGAGGTGACTGTGGTCTCTGTCCGTGGCTTTGAGGAGAGTGAGCCTCTCACAGGCTTCCTCACCACAGGTAAGGTGGACTAGGCCCCGGCAGGAGGTAGGGGGAGAATGAATGGGGAGGGGGAAGGTGTGAGAGGCTCTGACCGTGGACCAGGGGCCAATGGAGCTTGGGAAGGTGGGGGTTGGAGCAGGGGACAGGGGACAGCTCTGAGCCCCCTCCCTTCTCCCAGTTCCTGACGGCCCCACCCAGCTCCGAGCGCTGAACTTGACGGAGGGATCCGCTCTGCTGCACTGGAAGCCCCCCCAGACCCCTGTAGACAAGTACAAAGTCCGGGTCACAGCTTCAGGGGGTGAGCGGGGCTGAGGCCTCTGGGGGGACTTGTTCGGGGAGGGGAGAGGGAGTCTGGCAGGGCACAAAGGGGGCAGATGCTGATGCGCAGCCCACTGCCAGCCCCCTCACTACAGGGCTCGGCCCCCGGCAGTGCTGTGGAGTACCCTCTGAGTGGCCTCGAGCTCCACACCAACTACACAGCGACCGTGCGTGGTCTTCGGGGCCCCAATCTCACCGCCCCGGCCAGCGTCACCTTCAATACAGGTGCGGCTTGGAGCTATGTGCGACAGGGCAGGGGAGGTTCAAAGGAGCTAGGATGGGCCTCGTCTCCATCTTCTCTTCCCACTTTCCCCTCACAGGGTTGGAGGCACCCCAGGACTTGGAGGCCAAGGAAGTGACCCCACGCACAGCCCTGCTCACTTGGACTGAACCCCAAGTCCTGCCGACTGGCTACCTGCTCAGTTTCAACACCCCTGGTGAACAGACCCAGGTGCCCCCATCCCTCCCTCACTGGCCAACTCCCCTCCCAGCTTCCATTCCAGGAGGTGCTGCCCCATCCTCTGGCCCTCCCAGCGGGGCTCCCTGTCCCCTGACCTGCTCCTTGTCTGTCCACAGGAGATCCTGCTCCCAGGAGGGATCACCTCACACCAGCTGCTGGGCCTCTTTCCCTCCACCCCCTACAGCGTGTGGCTCCGGGCTATGTGGGGCGAGAGCCTCACACCGCCGGTGTCCACCTCCTTCACCACTGGTATTTGGGCCCTGGGACCTATGGCCAGGGGCTGAGCAGGCAGCAGGGGTCTGGGGTTTAGCAAAAGGACCAGCCCCTCATTCTCCTCTCCCCAGGTGGACTTCCAATCCCCTTTCCTCGGGACTGTGGGGAAGAGATGCAGAATGGAGCCAGCTCCTCGAGGCCCACCACCATCTTCCTGAATGGGAACCGCGAGCGGCCCCTGGATGTGTTCTGTGACATGGAGACCGATGGGGGTGGCTGGCTGGTGGGTGGAACACGGAAACCTGGGGGTCTGCCCGGGGAAGGAGCTGCCTTGCCAGGAGCCATAGGCCAATGGTGCCTCCGCCTGCTTCTCAGGTGTTCCAGCGCCGCATGGATGGACAGACAGACTTCTGGAGGGACTGGGAGGACTACGCCCACGGCTTTGGCAATATCTCTGGGGAGTTCTGGCTGGGTCAGTGCCCCACAGGACTACAGGGCCAGGGAAGGGACGGCAACCCCATGGACACCAGGACCCTGATGAGAGCACTGTCCCTCCCTCCCCGCAGGCAACGAGGCCCTGCACAGCCTGACGGCAGCGGGCGACTACTCCATGCGCGTGGACCTGCGGGCCGGGGACGAGGCCGTGTTCGCACAGTATGACTCCTTCCGGGTGGACTCAGCCACGGACTACTACCGCCTTCATCTGGACGGCTACCATGGCACGGCAGGTCAGGCCTGGGCCTGGGAGCGGGGCAGGCTGGCGCAGAGGCCAGGGCGGCCCTCACTGTTCCTCTCACACCTGGCCAGGGGACTCCATGAGCTACCACAGTGGCAGCGTCTTTTCTGCCCGGGACCGAGACCCCAACAACCTGCTCATCTCCTGCGCCGTCTCGTACCACGGGGCATGGTGGTATAAGAACTGCCACTATGCCAACCTCAACGGGCTCTACGGGAGCACCGTGGACCACCAGGTAAGGGGCCGGGAGTGGGGGGCCCTGCTGGGCTGTGAGGGCACGCTCGGGCCCTTACCTGTGAAGTGGGACAATAATGCCAATCTCACCAAGGCATCTTGAGGGAGATTTATTGGACATAAAGGTCCAGCTCAGATGAAGCCTCTGGGCCTTGGCAGTCGAGGATCTTGGAGTGGGGGAGACGGTAGGGTGGCTGCTTTCTGGGAACCGTCTCCCCAGAGGGGCAGGGGTGAGAGCAGAGGGGATGTGTGCCTTTGACTCTGTGTCGACCTCTCTTCTCCCAGGGGGTGAGCTGGTACTACTGGAAGGGCTTTGAGTTCTCTGTGCCCTTCACGGAAATGAAGCTGAGACCAAGAAGCTACCGGCCCCCAGCGGCCCAGAGAGGCTGACCGCTCACCTCTCCAGCGCCCCAGAATGACTGCCGAGCACTGAGGGGTCGCGCTGAGAGAAGAGCCAGGGGCCACCGTCACCACCCAGCCACCAGAGGGAGCCTTCTCCATCTGCGATCTCACAGCACCATGTTTACAGGGGGGAGGGCAGGGGTTGTACGGGAATAATAAAAGGAGAAACCGAGGCGCGTGTATGACCAGCGTGCATTCTGCCCTGTCATGGGTGCTGGCCCAGCGCCAGGGTCCCCGCCCCCCGGGGCTGCAGCTGCACCTGGAAAGGCCGCATGGTGAGGTTGACGCCGCAGCGGGCCCGGGGCTGCAGGGAGGGCAGGGTGCCCCCGGGTGGCAGCAGCGTGAAGGCCTGGAGCAGCCGCGCCAGCACCACGAAGAGCTCTAGGCGCGCCAGTGGCTCCCCGAGGCACACGCGTGCCCCGCAGCCGAAGGCCAGCACTCTGGGGCTGGCGCCGGGGGCCAGGAAGCGATCTGTGGGCAGGAGAGACCCGGGGTTCTGTAGCCACAGGACCGGGCCCCTACCGCCCCCACACCACAGGCACCCTCCCAGCCACGCACCGGGCCAGAACTCTTGGGGCCGCTCCCAGACTGTCTCATCTAAGTGGGCGCCTTGCAGGTTGGGGATGACGACCATGCCCTCAGGGATGTCGTAGCCCAAGATGCTGAGGGGAAGGTGGAGTCAGAGCCTGGCCAGCACATCCACCACTTCCACCCCTTTCAGTCCCACTCATCCCTAGCTCTCAGGAGTCACCTGCTGGGCCGCGTGGTGCGGTGCGGCAAGGCCAGGGGCACAGCCGGCCGCAGACGCAGCACCTCTGCGATGGTGGCCGTGAGCAAGGGCAGCCGGGCGGGGTCTCTGTATGGGACTTGGGAGCCTGAAGCTTCAGGGCCCAGCTCACGATCCAGCTCTTCCTGCAGTCGCTGCTGAACCTGGGAAATGGGAGCAAGCCTGGTGTCTGGGGCTGGAACCCTGAGTCTGCTGACCCAGAGCTACTGCCACTGCCTGGGTGAACACAGGCCATGGGGGGTTGCAGTGAGCTGAGGTCCTGGGGCCTGGCCAGGCCGCCCCCAGGGTGCACCTCAGGGTGGTGAAGCAAGAACGCCACGGCCCAGGAGAGGGTGGTCGCCGTGGTCTCAGTGCCACCAATGAACAGGTCCACCACAGACATATGCACATGTCCTTCAAGGAGCTGTCCGTGGCTCTCTTCTGCTGTTGGCTTCCCCAGTCTTTGGAGCATATAGTCAGTCAGGTCCCTCCACTGGCCTGCCACCATGCTCTCCTGTGGAAGATAGGAAGGCCCAGCCTCAGCTTTCAGGGGAGCCACAGGTCCGGGACGGTGGGATGCTGGAGACCCTGCCCAGCTCTGGGGCAGGAGGCTCCCTGGCTGTGTGCCACGGGGGCGCCAGGGACACGCAGTGTTCCCACCTTGTGCTGCTTCAGCTGCTTTTCCACCATGTGGTCCCTGTTCTCCAAGGCCTGCTTCAGCCTCCAGAGGCCTGGGTTGGGGAAGAACTGGGGCGGGGAGCAGGAGAGTATAGCCGCTGGCAAGGAAGCCTGGTCCCCCAGCCCCTCTCTCTCCCAGGACCCAAGGAGTCTGGGCTGCACCTCCTCACCCTGAGAAAGGGAATGATGTCCAAAATTTGGATGGACCAGTGCTCCCAGGTTTTCATCAAGTCTTGGACACAGTCATGAACAGCATGTACCAAGGCGTCCTCCTGCCCACCCCGCCAAAGAGGGAATCCTTTCAGTTCAGGACCAAAGAGAGTCAGGGAGGGGCTAAGGAAAGGGCACCAGCATAGCGAGGGCAAGAGAACCTTGACCTTGTCTCCGAAGGTGAGGTGACAGATGATGGTGCAGGTGAGGAAAGAGAACTCCTCCTGTATGGCCACAGGGGTGCCGGCCCGGGCTCGCATGCGCTGCGGAGAAGGACAAGGAGCTAAACAGGCCCAGGAGTTGCCGGGAGAGCTGAAGCTGCCCTGGGGCAACTGTGGGCATCCAGCCTTACCTCACAGAACTCCTGGGTCAGCTGCTCCACCAGTGGCTCCATGGAGTTGCGGAGGCCCAGCAGCAGTGCTGAGCGGGTGAGCTTCTTGTGAGCCTTCCAGAGCAGGGAGTAGTCCCCGAGGGAGAGGTCCTGGAAGTGCTGAGACACCAGCTGATCTGCAAGTAGGAGAGGGGTTGGGCATCCCGAGGAAGCCACGGGCCTGACATTCCCTGCCTCCACCAGCCCATGTCTTCCCTCGAGACCGGCCCTGAACACTTACAGGACGCTGTCTGGGGTCTGCCGGCGAAGTCCACCCACTTCCTGATCATGGCTTCCTCGATGGTCCTCTTGGAGTTCAGCACCACCACATCTGGGGGATGGCAAAAGCAGGATGTCAGCAGGGAGGGGACCCCGCTTCTCCCCTCCTCACCCCGTGGTGGAGAGGATGGAGCCAATGCACCTCGCAGCCCAAGGCGGAGCCTGTAAACAGGCCCCAGTTTCTGGGTCAGACCCAGCAGGTAGAGGGGAAGGTTGGGCTGCAGCAGATGCAGGAAGCCTGGCACTAGAGGCGGGAGGTGGAGGCTGCGGAACTTCCACTTGTCCCACAGCAGGCGGGCACCAGCCAGCAGGGTCAGCAGCAGCAGCCCGAGGAGGAGCATGGCCAGAGCCCAGAGTGAAGGCCCTGGCAGGGCCACTTATAGTGTTGGAGGCCCCCCCATCCATCTTGCTGCTCGGGCTGCACTAGGGCCTCCTTTGACTCCCCCCGGGGCCCTGCCCACTGTCCTGCCCACAGATCCTGGAAGGGCACATTCCGCCTGACCTTGGGGAGTCCACATGTCAAAGAATCGGCCTTTCATCCATCAAGAAGAAAGGAAAGGGGATGCGACCCTGACCTTTCTCCCACAGCCGGAATCGGCTTCCTGGCTCCACATCAACCAGGCAGGAAAATACAGTCACTTTCCAGCCTGAGCCCTCTCCCACTGCCACCCCACCTTGGACCACTTTCCTGCTTTACCTCAGAGAGACAATAGCCATCCCTGCCTCACCAGCCGTCAGATGAAAAGGGGCCTGTTTTTCTTTCAACTTGTAGATGGGGTGACCGTATGGCCAGGTCTGTCAGGACCACCCCAGTTTATACCTGTAGTCTCAGTGTAACGATTACCGTGCTCCATTTCCATCTCAAAAGTTGAAGAAGATGAAGAGCTCTATGCCCCCCCGCCCCAGTTTGGGGGCTCTACTATACTCGATACACTCTTCAGTTGCAAGAGAAAGGGACCGACCCAAGCTGGCTTGAGCCAAAAAGAATTACTGTACAAATGTGGGGGTATCTCAGAGAACTGAAGAGAGCAGGAGAGGGGGGTTTCTTGGAAGCTAGGGACAGGAGGACACCACAGCTGCAGCAAGCGCCCAGGTCCTCACTCTTGGCTCCTCCCTCCTCCATGTCCACCGTCTGCCCTTTCCTCTCACGGGCTGTTTGCGCTCCCAGTTGCAGGTGGGATGGGACTGCCTCCAGGGTCGGAGTCCACGGGTTACAGGCTCAGCCCCAGCTCAAGAGAGAGTTCCCGGCATGACTGAAAGTTCCCCCATCGATGCCAAAGTCCCCAGGAAGGGGCCGGAGAGCCACAGCTGGGATCAGGAGGCCCAGCCCTATCCTGGGAGCTGTTGCCATAATGGGTTGGGTCCCACTGGACCAGGTGGGGCAATCAGGAACCACTTTAATGGGTCCCAGGAGGCAGATGAGAGGCTCAAAGGTGGGGGGCAGGGTTTGCCGAGAGACCACGCCAAAGAGGTGAGAGTGCTCAGTGAGAAGTCAGGGCTGCCTAGGAGTGGGAGTGAGGGATCAGAGGCCCTAAGGCCCACATCATCCCCAATTCCCTATCCCTGGGTCTGTAAACTGATCCCTGCACCTGAGAGCAGTTAGGCCACTCCCAGAGCGCACAGGCTTTGTGGCTGGAGGCCCTGAGTCCAGATACTGGCTGTGCCACCCACCAGCTTGAGGCAGTAACTGCTGGGGGTCGTGGGTGGAGAGGCTCAGGCTCGGCCTGCATCCACACCCACGGCTGAGAGGGAGAAAGCAGCGGCAGCATTTCAAGGAATAGGCAGTCACTGCTGCCCCTGCCTCAGGGTTGACCTCCCAAACTGTGGCTGTCTTGCCACAACTGCAGCTGAGTCCCTGGCTCTCATAAATGGCTTTCTGCCACCCCATGCTGACCAGCTTCGGGGACAGAGATGTGATGGGCAGACACAGGGCCATGGGGACGACAGCCCTGGGGAGCCTTGGAGACAGAACCTCTCAGAGCTGCAGGGCATCAGAGGGGGCTCCACTGGAAAGAACAGTGACCTGGAAAACTGGCCTGATTGTGAATAGACCTTCATCAACTGACCTGGTTCCCTTGCCAACCCCAGCTCTTCCACCCCACCTCCAAAGCCCAACCTCAGACACAATGGAATTATATGCAGTGCCCACAAATGGGCTCTGTCCTGCCCCTGGCCTCTGGGTCTTTCCTATTCTCCATCGTCTGCTCAAATACCCTCACCTATCCCCACTCTCTCTGCGTTACGCCTCAACTTTCAGAACCCACGTTAGAGGTCACCTCCAGGAAGCCCTTGCCTTCTCCCTGCCCCCAGATTGGATCCGGTGCCCCAACTACGTGCCCCCACAGGACCAGGCAGCTCCCGAACATCCCACGTCTCAAGGATGGGGACCTGGCATAGGGCATGGCCTGGAGGGAGAGCCCCACAAACTGCAGCTACCCGATCGGATGGCAGGCTGCTGCGGACTCCGCCTCCATCAACCCCGCTCTCAGCCCATTTCTCTAGCTGGATTTCCAATCAGCCCTGAAGACCCAAGGGGTGCAACTAAATGGGGGAGAGTGAGGCAGGCAGGTGGGGAGATTGGACCCAGTAAAGCTGCGGACTCAGTGTATTAACACCCAGACCAAAGTCACTGCACAACACCAGGAAAGTTCCCTAAACACTAGTAAGGAGATCAAGTGTCAACCATCTGCTTTCAAGAAACCAGACGTCAGCTACAAGCAGGAGACCCCAGAACTCAAAGCTGCACAAGGGCAGAGTGGGAAATGTGTGGCCGACAGCCACTCGTCAGGTGGAAGGGCAGTGGCATTAGGCTGAGCTCGAGCATCGTCTGAGGCCACAGGGACTGGTGACAGCTGGGCTGTGGAGGGAGGCCTCGCTGTGGTGCCAGACCCTTAGGGTGCAGGCTGCAGGGGTCCCAAGTCCGCTCAGCATGCTTTGCAGATGGACTGAGCTCCTAGGGAATGATCTGGGAGTGACAACCCCAAGGGTCATGCAGGCTCTGGGAGCCTCAGATTAGGCAAACCCTGGTCTCATGGCTGGCAGGGGTCTGGGGGCACTGCTCTCAATCCTGGAGACACACACTGACACTCTGCTGCCAAAGACCTTTATTGAACCCCTGGAACCACCTGGGGCCGTGTCCAGTGGGCACAGAGACCGTCCAGGCATCCCCGGGGGAAGAGGAGGGCAGCCCTTACACCTGGCAGCCCTGAGTGCCGTACTCCTGGAGGAAGTTGCTGAGCTGGGCGCAGGCTGCCCGATGGCGGGTGCTCTGGCACAGGCGTTCAGAGGGCATCTCCTCGACCCAGGTATTCGAGTCCAGCAGGTATTGGGGGCTGCAGAGGCAAAAGGGCAGTCAGCAGGGGTGGGGAGGATGGGCACCTGGCTTCTGGTGAGGCAGGGTCTGCACGCTGGGGATCCATCCGTTCCCTCATGTGGGAGGAGAGCAAGGCCCAGAGAACTCACTCTCCCTTGAGGTCAAAGGTAACTCCATCCAGACCCATGATTAAATATTCTTTCCCAGGTTCCAAGCGAAGACGGCAAGAGGCTCGAACCAGGAAGTTTCGGGTCTGACGGACAGTGGCCTTGGTGTCCTTGGCTGAGAGGATAAGGTGCACAGGAATTATAAGAGACGAATGGAAGGTACAGGACCAGTGAGGGCCGAGGGCTGTGCACGGAGCTTCTCGCTTAGCCCTCACTGTTCCTAATGGGGATGTACGACTGCTTTTCGATTTATGGCCAAGTCCAGAGCTTCCAAGAGCCTGAGGGGCTTTGAGCTCAGCCTCCAAACATCCGTTGTCCCAGGCACCCGGGCTGCAAAACCCGACCTCAGCTCCCTAAGTCCCCCAGCCCCAGCCCCTTCATACTGAAGTGCAGGACTTGGGTGATTCTGGTTTCAAAGAGGCGGAAGGCAGCTCTGCTATCTTCTCGGAGGACCTTCACCTGGAAGCCTGCGAGGGAGTTTAAGGGAAGGGAGCACGGGTTTGTTCCAGCAGCGGTCATGAGGTGTGGGCCCAATTACAGAGCTGGGCTGGGCGGGGGCCACACGGACCATAATGCACGCGGGGGTGGTAGCAGGCGAACTTCATCCTGTAGCCAGCCTCATCCTGCAGCCCCCGCTCCAGGGCACGACGCTGTCGAGGGCACTTCCCTGCCGGGGTGGGAGGGGTAGGGGGACAGATGAGCCAGTGCAGGCCCCAGCCTCACTGGCTTCCCCTCACCCCGCCCCCTGCCCCCAGACCCAGCTCTTACCCTCAGCACACTGGCAGACGTCAGCAGAGCACAATGTGGACAAGAGTTTGCTCTTAGTGGGGGCCCCGTAAAACACAGAACACTTGCGCTCTGCAGGACAGAGTACAGTTAGAATGCACACCCCCCAACACTGTCACCCCTGTCCCAAGGGGGACATCACTGCCACCCGGCACTGACCCCCCTTCCTGATGTCCCATATGGGGACAGCTACTCCAAACCTGCCGAGAGCTCTCCAAGCGCTCACCAGGGTTGTAGTAATCATACACCGCCGCGCTGGCCGGCTGGACAAGCCCCACGGGCACTTCCTGAACAGCTCCAAAGCCCACGCACTCCCGGGAGGTGGGGACCTGGCGAGGTGGGGAGGAGATGTCAGGACGCACCCCCTGGGCCCTGCAGGCCGCTGTGCTACATCTCCTTGACCTGTGTCTGGTCTTATCTTCAGTGTCTTTTACATGCTAGTACCTTCCGGCTCCGGAACTCTAAAAACTCTAAAAACCCCGAGGTCTCTGCTCACGTCACTGCCAGACAGTGACCTCGTCCCAGTCTCCAGTGCCCTCACATCATGGACACGTTCTGCATGAAACTCTCTGAGCTCAGGGTTAGCTTCTGGCCATCCCTGGTTCTGACCTTGTCATGCCTGACCATCCCTCTTCTTCCCTCCCAGAGGCACAGTCCCTGGCCCTGGCTACTCGGGTCCACCGTGTTCCCCTGAGGAGGTCTCAGCCGCTCCTTGGCTTTCACCAAACCCTTCCAGGCTGATGATTCCCAAATTAAACACTCAGCCTCATTCTTGCAGTAGGATTCTTGTGGGACATAGAAATTCTCCAAATTCACTCTGCCTACCCCCAGAAGCCCACCCCCAAATCCCGCCACAAAGGTCTTGCTTCATTACTGATGCACCCAGGCCCCACTTTATGTGTCATAACATAACGGCAGGTGCTGTCACTGGCCCATCCTCATGGCCTAGACCCAGACCCCTCTCCTCACACCCACACTACACTGGTCTGGTCCAGCCCGGTTCCCTGCCAGTCTCCCTCCCGAGCCATGCTGCTTAAGTCAACTCCTCATCCAAAATCTTCCTGACTTCTCATCTGCCACTGTGTTCAATGAAACTCCTCTTCTTGACTTCTCAGGCTAATGGTGTCTGGCCCCTCTACAAACACTGGGCTGGGGGGGGGGGGCTTCCTCAACCCCTACACACCTGGATAAAGGTGTTACACAGTATTATATCTTTTTCACATTTTCTCCAAGAGATTACAGCTAATGCTCAAAAAAAGTTTGAGGGCCATCAGAGGGTTAATGATTCTTTGTTTTAGCCAAAAATGGCATGGAAAGGCAAAAGCAACTCCTCTATGACTGTCATCACTTTGGAAAAGAAAATATACTTCAATATCAAAAACAAAAACCAAAAAAACTAGAAAGGTCAACAACAAGCAACAAAGGCGGCCCTTGAGTTGCGTAAATTCAGCTTTATGAAGGGCTCACTC